GTGGGCTCCAGGGAGAGCAGGTCTGCTGGGGGTGGGACCCTTAGTTTTGTGGTCACCACTGCTGGGGCACACACAGACACACACACACACAAACACACACTCACACACACAGAAACACCCAGAGACACACAGACACACTCACACACACAGACGCAAACACACACACAATCTCACAGTCACAGACACACACACATAGACACACACACTCACACACAGACACAACACATACATACTCACACAGACACACACACACATATACAAACAGACACACACACTCACACACACTCACAGACACACACTCACCCCCCACACATACACACACACTCATTCACACACACACACATACACACACAAACACACACACACACACACAAACACAGTTAGTGACACCTTCCTCTACACGGCACTCCCTGTGCTTTTCATTCTGTGTCACTCTACTGGAGGGCAAGCTGAGCACCCCCTCTCCTAATATCTAGAATCCAAAGTGCTCCACAATATGAGACATTGGATGGTTCCAGGGGGATTAGAATTAGAGATGGGGATGCTCAGTTGGTAAAGTTGACTCAAAGTTTCTAAAATATGAAAACCACTGAAATATGAAACCCTCCTGGTCCCCCAAATGTCAGGTAAGGGACATGGAAAAACAGGGAGTTCCTGCAACACAGTGTCAGTTCCCTGAATCTGTTTAGGGGGTCCCCTCATCTTGACATGATTTCCATATGAATTTTTTTTTTCGATTAATAACTTCTTTATTCTGGAAAAGCAAATCAAATTCATATTCATATAAACACTGACGTTACAAAGTACAGGGAAAGGGGGAAGGGAGGAGGAAACAAAACTCTCTACAAATCCTGCTAATACTGTCTCACCCAACAAGACCATAATGCTTTGTCCCATATTCAATCACTTATATAATAAACCACAAATAAAATCTTATCTGGAAGATACACTGCTCCTCTTTGAGATGTCAGGGAAAAGGGACCGGAAGTAAGGGTAGGAGGCTTTATTCTTTTGGCAGATCCTCTCAGTCATTATAGATATTGCTGCACTGTTAATAAAAAATATATGCTTCTCTGTAAAGCATTTAAAAAAAAAAATTCCAAGGATGAGATGGCTGAAATCTCAGCTCAAGTATCTCCAAATACATTGTTGTCCATTCCCTGACCTTTCCGTGTGTTATTTCTTGGTTGTTTTCCGGATCAATGCCATTCTCTGAAAGGAGAGAGAAATAAGCAATTATATATTATTATATAATAGATTAGAGTCAGGAGCTTTAGGAATATGTATATGCAGTTAGTAGGCAGTATGGTCTACAGTATAGGCTAGAGCCCTTGGGGACTTGCAGTCACAGAGAAGCTCAGCAGCCTTCTTTTAACCAGACAGCAGAGTACAGGGACTGAGATAGGCCAGCAGGTCCATTTACCCACCAAAAGACTCAAACTGCTCGGGGTATCAGGATGGCAAAAAGGTTAAAAGTAGAAGAGACAGCTCTTGCCTTTTGGGGACATAAGGGATAGGTCAGCAAAACATATTTTCTAGGATTCCCTCACCCCAATGTCTTCTTTCTCTAATGATGGAGAAAATAGGAAAAGGGCCTCAGTTTCAAACCTGTTGCCACACAGAGAGAGTCAAAATTTCACCCGTGATGATGTGCAGTGAAGGGCAACTGAAGACTAACAACTTCTACCACAACCCACTGTGGACCCAGTCAGATCATGGGTTTCCATTTTTAGTAACTTGCTTTTGCTCACTCTTTTTGACCAAGACGTTACTCCTTTATTATGTCATTTTTTAACTAAACAGAGATCTAGAGCCAGAGAGACCATCTGGAGAACTCCCTTCAGACCTTTGATGTATGGACCTTTGATTCAGGCTATTGGTGGCTTCCTGGGAGGGCTCCCTCCATGAACTCTGTAAACAACTACTCCAGAGACCCCAATGATGAAAAAGCAAGGGACATTCACCCAGGACTGCCCAGTGCCTATCAAACTTGGAAACATCTCACTCTTCATTTCTTTCTTTCTTTTCTTTTTTTTTTTAAATTCTAACATGTTATATATGACAGCAGAATGCATTAAACATCTCATTTTTCAAATCAGAGTAGCCAGTTAAAGCAGAAAGGATAACAGCCTTTCAAAGGGAGGCCAATACTGCTACTGGACTGACCCGACTAATTCTTACACCAACATCTAGGTTCCTTGTTAAGAGGGGTAGAGAACAAAGGTTAAGCTGGGGATGTGGGCCAGAATGCTTGGCAGAGCAGCCTGAATACTCCATCTTAGCATGAGCATAGGATACTTCTGGTTCCTCTGACCTTTCTTTATTCAAGGGCATGTTCAAACCAGCAAGAAAAGGAAGATTTCATTAAGGAGATTTGGAGGGGGTGAGCTTGAACCAGGCACAGTGGTACCTGCCTGTAACCCCAGCTACTTGGAAGACTAAGACAGGAAGAGTACAAATTCGAATCTAGTCTCTCCAACTTAGTGAAATCCTGTCTCAAAATAAGAAAGGGCTGGGGATGTAGAGTGGCCCTAGATTATTCACTCCCCAGTACCAAGAGGAAAAAAAAAAAAAAGCTTGAAGTGAAGCCCATCAGAGTTGAGAGAAAAAATTGAGATTCCATATAGGAATAGCACAGCGCTAAGGAAATATCTGACTGTTGCTGCCTCTGGGCCTCTCTGACCTTTGGTCCAAAGAATGAAACCTGGGCTGGGGATGTGGCTCAAGCGGTAGCACGCTCGCTTGGCATGCGTGCGGCCCGGGTTCGATCCTCAGCACCACATACAAACAAAGATGTTGTGTCCGCTGAAAACTAGAAAATAAATATTGAAAAATTCTCTCTCTCTCTCTTCTCCCTCTCTCACACTCTCTCTTTAAAAAAAAAAAAAAGAATGAAACCTGCTTTGTGGGGGAAGTGAGACCCCTAGAAGGTAGCCCGACACCATGCCCGGCTCCTCACCTGTTTATGAGCTTCTGTGGTGCAAGCTTTTTTGTAGGGCCGTATTTCTTCAGAACCAAATCCTGGGATCCACA